CCTTCTGATAAAGCATTCAATATTTATATGGATAATTATTTTACAAGCATCCAGTTATTTAAATTTTTGCGTGAAAATAAAGAATTAGAATATACTACATCTGAAAATGATATTCAACAATTAAAAATTGATGATGACATGCTCAGACATGTTCAAATAGAAGGTCTAGTAAAACATCTAACAGGTGATCATTCTTTATGTTGGGATGAGGTTTGTTGGTTAAAAAATAACCCTGATTTAGAATTGCAAGAACCAACCTTAATTACATATTCTCAAATCTTTCAGAATTTTGGAAATCTTTTTGCACTTGACACTCACTTGCAGTTTTACACACATAACAATGGTGTTTTGGAAATGATGAATTCAGTTTGTAATACAGGTCTTTTAAACTCTTTTTCAGTTCAGGATATTATAAATATTAAGAAAATATGCAAAGAAAGAGAGGGACAAAGACAAAAAAATTTGCAAAAAATTAATGAATGAAATGAAAAGAGAGCTGAAGATTATGAAAAAAAAGAATGAAATTAAAAGGATCAGGTAATTAGTTAGGTAAATTATGTTTTAAATTTTTTGTATATTAATATAGTTTTATTATAGGATTTAGTTCCTTGTGGTCAAAAATCACAAGAGGAAATGTCTGTCAGGGAATATTGCCCTTTTTTTGCTCATTTGATTTATAATTTTGGAGCCATTGTCAAATGTATGGGTTGCTATTCTTTCTCTAAAAGTTTCCTCACAAATGGTTTTGTAGGAAGCATCCCAAATAAAGGTTTTTTTCAACAAAAGGTAAGTTATCTATATCATCAATATCACTGTTTGTGAAAATGTTTTTAGATACTCTGAATTATGAGAAGGGCAATTGGAAAGTGTTGAATCATTTGCTTCTGGAAATGATACATTTGTACTATTGCCAACAGGTGGAGGAAAGACATTTTGTTATGTAGCTTCAGCATTGATTTCTAATGGCATTACTGTGGTATTTAGTCCATTGAAGGCATTAATTCAAGATCAAATGGTATGTTAATATTATAATCTTTATGAGAATACAAAAGTATCTTTTAATATTTTGTTATGTTTGAGTAGGTTGAGCTTCTTTATTTTGGAGTTCCTTGTGCTGGGTTATTTGCAAGAACAGATCAACCTCTAGATGCATTATTTTTATCACACCTGAAAAATTTCACAAAAACATTGGATTTCGAAACATGCTAACAAGACTTGCTAATGAAAGAGGAATTTGTTTTGTTATAGATGAAGCCCATTGTGTTAATGACTTCCAACATTTTAGATGATTATTTCAATTATTATTTTTTGACAAATGCTGGTTCCAGTGAGGGAACAATTAAATCTGCAAGTCAGCAGAGTTTCATTGTTGGAGCAACAAGTTCAAGCATTGGAGCAACAACATGAAGAATTGCTCATACAACAGGAACAGCAACATGAACAAGAACATTCATTCTTAAATAGATTAATTGAACATTATTTAATAATTACTAGATTTTTTTTTTATAATCATAATTTTAATTATTTTTTTAAATTTAAATAATAGGCAATGAATTATTGTAAAATTAACTAAATTCCCAGATAATGGAAATTATGCAATAGTTTTAAATTATTTGGATTTGGAATGTTAAACTCATACTCAACCTGGACCCATGTCTTTGCCACATAATTGTACTCAATGGGCATCAAGCTCACTACCAACTCACAATTGTATAAGTAATAACACAATTACCAATTTTTGTGAATTTCATTATTCTGTTGGTTTATAAAAGTTGCAACCAAAATCCACATAGTTACAGCCAAAATCTATATAATTGCAACTGAAAAACAATTCAGTCAATAATCTATTGATACACATTCCAGGAATAAATTAATACCACAAAAGTAAAATGGTTTGTTTAGAGA